ATGAGTGCTCGTAAAGCTGTGCCAGGGGTCCTGCAATGACCTCTGCTAATTCCCTCAGCACTCTGGGGTGGAGATCTTCAGGACCTGCTGATTTGAACACATCTAGTCCCACCAGAAGTTCCCTGACTAGGCCCTCACTGACCCTGGGCCTTGCTGCACCTCTCTTGGGACCATCGGAGATCCCAGTGAGGGGGATGACCTGGTCCCTGCTCAGAAAAGTGGAGGCAAAGCAATTGTTAAATATGTTAGTGTTGTCATCTGCAGAGACCACCAGATTTCCAAACGTGTCCTGCAGAGGCCCCATGTTACCTGGAACCTTCTTTTTACCCGCTATGTATTTAAAAAAGGATTTCTTGTTATCCTTGATTCAGGTTGCTTGTCCCAGTTCCCTCTTCACCTTGGCCTTCCTAACAGTTCCTCTGCAATCCTGAGCACATGAAATGGAGTGCATCCTCATCAGGTTTGTGGATGACACTAGGTTGGGGGGAGTAGTAGATATACTGCAGTGTAGGGCTAGGATTCAGTGTGACCTAGAGAAATTGGAGGATTGGACCCAAGAGAAATCTCATGAGGTTCAACAAGGACAAGTACAGAGTCCTGTACTCAGGACAGAAGAGTTGCATGCACCAGTACAGACTTGGGATCAGCTGGCTAAGCAGCAGCTCTGCATAAAAGGACCTGGGGTTTACAGTGGACAAGAAGTTGGATAAGAGTCAACAGTGTGCTCTTGTTGCCAAGATGGCTAACAGCATCCTGAGCTTTATTAATAAGGGTGTTGCCAGCAGATCGAGAGATGTAATGATTCCCCTCTATTCTGCACTGTTGAAGCTACATCTAGAGTATTGTGTCCAGTTTTGGGCCCCCCACTACAGAAAGGATGGGGACAAGTTAGAGAGAGTCCAGTAGAGGTCATAGAAGATGGTTAGGGATCAGGTCACATGACTTATGAGGAGAAGCTGAGGCAACTGGGCTTATTTAGTCTGGTGAAGAGCAGACTGAGGTGGGATTTGATAGCAACCTTTAACTGCCTGATGGGTGGTTCCAAAGAGGATGGAGCTAGACTGTTCTCAGTGGTACCAGGGGAAAAAACAAGGAGAGGTTTAAGTGGGATAATGGGAAAAACCCTCACACTAGGAAGGTGGTGAAGTACTGGAACAAGTTTCCTAGAGATGTGGTGGAATCTCCATCCTTGGAGGTTTTTAAGTCTCAGCTCAACAAAGCCCTGCCTGGCATGATCTAGTTGTGATGGTCCTGCTTTGAGCAGTGGGTTAGACTAGATGATTGCCTGAGGTCCCTTCCTACCCTTATTTTCTGTGATTCTATGAATCATAGATTTTAAATTATACAGTGAATAGATGGCTGTAAAAAATGAAACCCCTTCACAGAAACAGTAGCTTTGTTGTTCTACTCTTGACAGCACAAAGTTAAACACACCTAAGGCTGTGTGTAGACTTGTAGACTGTTACTTATATCTGGTAATGTATATTACTAATAACCTATATTTTCCTATAGCCCTTTTTAGGACTCAGGCCATCTTCTTCTGTCACAGCAGTGCTTTATAAGTTATCCTTAAGAGTAAGATTATGCTGATAGTATCATAGTACTCTGACCCATGTGTTACAAAGATTTATTTTTGCAATTAGTTTTTTTAATTGTTAAAAATAGGGCTGTTGGAGGTAGGAAAGGATTAGCTTCTCCTTTCCTGTCATTCCCTATGAGCATAACTAGGGGTGGAAAAAAGGGCCATGCAGTCTGGGCACCAAGTTATGAGGGGTGCCGGAATTGCCCCCCACATCTGCAGAGTCCCTACCCAGCATTCCTTTTAGAAACTCCAAGTGTCCCCAGCTGCTGCTGCTTTAAGAGCAACCACAAGAGGTGGGCAGAGCATATATGCCTACAGCAGCAGCTCAGCTGGGATTGTTGAGTTTTGATATGGGTAAGAGTGCTACCTCTGAACCTGGAGTGCCCCCTTTCCAACCCAGTCTCTCAGATCCCAGTCTCTTTGTGCCTACTCTCAGAACCCCTACTCCACTCTCTGAACCCATCTGCACTACCCCTTCTCTCAGATCCTGTGCCCCCTACCCCTGTTCTCAGAGTCTGTTCCTTCTCCTTCTGTCAAAACCTGTGGTCCTCACAACCCATGCCCCATCCCCATCTCTTGCAGGGTTTGCCCTAGTGGGCAACTCTGCTTGTTATGTCCCATCACTCCCATAGAAAAATATATCTCTTCCTACCATTTCTTTCCAAGACAAATTCTTCTCCTCCCCCCACTTCCTGCCCATGTCAGGTTTTTAATAGTTCTCTTGCAATAGTATTCAGAAGTTCAAGTAATCTTGTTCAGAGATCTTAAGATCTGAATGATGATTGACCTGCTTCACACAGGCCAAAGAATTACACTCAGTAACTTCCATATTAAGCTTATAACTTCTGGATTAAATATAATTGTCAGTAGATGTCTATACTTAACGTATAGCCTTCAGTTCAGGGAGAATCCACCACAGTTTCAAACAAGCCCTTCTAGTGGTTAATTACCCACACTTAAAAATTTGAATTTTATTTCTGTTCAATTTTTCAAAATTTAGCTTCTGGCCATTAGAGCTCATTTGTGAATTCAGCCGACTTCAGCATTCAGGCTTTTGGTTTATGGTCCCCAAAGGCTTTATCTCTGGGTGACTTGTAAATCCTTCACTTGATCTTTGAGTAAAGACATGATCTCAGATTCAGTTAATATATTAACCTATCAAATTTGGTGATTACATTAGTAGATTTGTACCTCTCTTCTTCACCTCACCTTGGAGGTATCTTCTCTGTGTTCAGCCCTCTTTGAATATCCCCTCTTCTGTGAAGACTTCTGTTTAGTTGCCCTGTTGACTCCCATTTCCTCATCCATCAAAATGTGAACAAAATGTTTTGTTTATCTTAAAATTTATCCACAGGTAAACACAGGTAAGCTATGATTTTGGAACTGTCTTAATATACCTCTCATCTTTTTTTTATTAGTAGCATTTGTCTTCACTCAGGTGAACTTATTGAATATACTCAATTTCAAATCATTATTAGGTGGTAAGAGGAACATTGTTTTTTGGAAATGAGGCATATCACCTACATATGGTGACATCAACAGTAGCTGGGAAATGGCAGGCTATGAAATTAAATTCTTCACTATGCAAAGACCTAGGGAACAGGTTTTATGTATGTCTCCTGTTGATCTGTACTGCAGTTTACATTCTGTTAGAGACCAGAAAGAAACAACTTTCTTGATGAATGACTCCTAGAAAGACTTTGTGCCTGTTGGTAAAACTAATGGTTTATTTTTGGGTAAGGTTTTTGGAGTGATGTCTGGATGAATTTCTCCTTTCTAAAATGTACCAGAAGGGTTCTCCATCCCAAGGCACAGAATAGGACAACTGTCAGGTTTAACTGAGAGAAGTAACTATGCTGCCCCCCTGCACCCCCTGCAACACATTGTTCTCATTGTCCTCTTCAGGGAAAATATTTCTTCTGAAGAACTGTAAGTCTGGAACTGAAGACGGACAAAGTTCAGATGGTGTAGCAATATCAATGAGAGTTCAGGGATACCGGAGATAGGAAAAGTCCTGTCTTTGGTTAGAATTTGGCTGCAAGTATAGGGAGAAACAAAAAATGAAAAACCTTTAGAACCATTAGTTAGAAAATGAAAAGTTAGTTAATCATATCATAAGGCATAGCTATAAGGTATTTCTTGGTAGTTACTATTGCACAAAGTGATACTCTAAAGTGACTGTACATTAATACTGAACTGTAGTTATAACTGTAATTTGTATCAGTGCCATTTGAATCTTTGACATTGGAGAGGATTTCAAATTATTCAAATGATTTATCTTATTCCCAAGATGCATCTTACAGTTAAGGATTTTGTAAAAGTAGATATAATTTTCTCAGCTGTTAAAATAGCTGTGGCAACTCACTTCCTTCATGAAACTCAGAAACCCTAATTCACATCAATAAGAATGCTATTTCGCACTCATGTAAAAATGAAAGGATTAAAAAGAAAATAATAATATCCAAGGCGGAACTATCTTCTTGGTCAAATGCTAGATTTGATTTTGTCTTTCTATTAATCAGTCGTAAGTTCTTTGCTGTAAATACTGTGCATTCATTATGTTGTGCATCTCAGATCCGGCTTTCAAACAGAGATTAGTATTAATATAAATAACAATAATGATAAGTATCATAATATTCTCAGCGCTGGCCTTAAGCCAGGAGCAATCCTATGGGAAACAAAATGGGAAAATAATAATTCTCTGCATTTTGTTTTACTTTGCAAAATATCTATCCTTAGAATATGTGCTACATTAGTATAACAAGAAGTCACGAAGGCTGCTGTATGTATCATGAACCTTTCATTTTTAAATAAGTAACAATTATTTTTTTAATGCTTGTGATTACAGTGTTTCTTTTGCAGATCTATCAGGTTCCTTCTGAGGACAAAAATGCACATAGACATAATCTGCATTATCCTTAATAAGATAAAATTATAATGAATTATTTTTATTGTTTAAGAAAGAGCAAATGTTCCTGAATTAGCATCTAGCATATGTCTAACTTCACAAGCTCTTACTAGCCTAACATTATTATTCCCTTGTTTAATAATTTTTTATAAGCAATGACCTATGCTTTTACATATTTTTATAGCGTTTCATAGACTTTTTTCATGGACATTAGGGCTGGAAGGGACCTCAGAAGATTATCAAGTTCAGTCCCCTGCCCCAGGGGAAGGAAGTCAGCTGGGTTCATAGGATCCCAGCAAGAGAAACATCCAGGTTTCTCTTAAAGGCATTCAAAGTAGGTGATGGAACCACCTCCAGCAGCAGGCCCTTCCAGACTTTGGGCGCTTGGACAGGAAAGAAATTCTTCCTTATGTCCAGCCTGAAATGGTCTTGCACGAGTTTATAACCATTCAACCTTGTCATCCCTTGGGGTGCTTTGGTGAACAAACATTCCTCCAGATCCTGGTGAACACCCCTTATAAACTTATAGATGGCCATCAGATCACCCCCGAGCCTGTGCTTTTCCAGGCTGAAGAGTCCCATAGCTCTCAGCCTCTCATCATAAGGTCTGTTTTCCTGACCTCTGATCATGTGTGTGGCTCTCCTCTGGACTCTCTCAAGCTTCTCCACATCCTTTTTGAATTGTGGAGCCCAAAACTGGACACAGCACTCCAGCTGCAGCCTCACCAAGGCCGAGTACAATGGGAGAAGGACATCCTGGGATTTGCTTGAGAAGCATCTATGGATGCAAGCTAGCATTTTGCTTGCTTTACTAGCTGCAGCATCACATTGAAGGCTCATGGTTATCTTGTGGTCAAACCTGACCCCAAAAATCCCTCTTATCCATAGTGCTAGTCAGCATAGCACTGCCGAGCCTATAGACATGCTGCAGGATTTTCTTCCCAAGATGTAGAACCTTGCATTTTTTGGTGTTAAACATCATCAGGTTCTCGTCCGCTCATTTCATGAATCTGTCAAGGTCAGCCTGGATTACCCCCCTGTATTCAGGTGTGGATGTTTTACCCCAGAGTTTGGTATCATTGGCAAACTTGGCCATTCCACTTCTGACTCCAGTGTCCACATCATTAATGAAGAGGTTGAACAAAATAGGTCCAAGGACAGAGCCTTGAGGGACCCCACTGGTCACAGAGCACCATGATGATTGACCACCCTCTGTGTCCAACCACAGAGCCAATTCCCCAGCCAGCAGATCATGGTGGATCTGAGGCCACAGTTGGCCAGTTTTGCCAAAAGGTGATCATGGAATACCAGATCAAAGGCTTTTTTAAAGTCAAGATATATGACACCAATCTCTTCCCCCTTCTCCAGGTGATAGGTCACCTGGTCATAAAAGGAAATGAGATTGGTCAAGGACGACCTACCTGCAACAAACCCGTGCTGGCTATCCCTCAGGGTGTTGCCATTGGCCAGTCCGATAAGAATGATTTCTTTGATAATCTTTTCTAAGACCTTCCCTGGGATAGAGGTCAGGCTGATGGGCCTGTAGTTTTCTGGATCCACTTTCCTCCCTTTCTTGAAGATAGGCATCACACTGGCCTTCTTCCAATCATTGTGTACTTCACCAGAGCACTAGGAGCTCTTGAAGATCTGTACCAGGGGCTGAGCTATGATGCAGGCCATCTCCTTGACTACTCTGGGGTGTAAGTTGTCAGGGCCGGCTGACTTGAAGGTGTCCAGCCTCTCAAGGTGTTCCTTCACGAAGTCGGCATTGATGGAGGGCAAGGAACCACCCTCACTTAGGTGTCCCTGTCCCATAATGGGCAGGGGCATCCCATGGGACTTGTGAAAGACTGACACAAAATACCCATTTAGTAATCTGCCTTTTTCCTGGGCGTCGGTCATCAGTTCTCCCTTATGGTTTAGCAGGGGCCCAATGTTGCCCTTGCTTTTCCTCCGGCTCCCCACATATCTAAAAAAGGACTTTTTATTGTTCTTGATATTTCTAGCCAGTTGGAGTTCCATCACAGCCTTGGCTTTCTTGGTTCACTCCCTGCAGGTCTGGATCAGTGTAGAGTATTCCTTCTTGGAGGAATCAAAAAATGTTCATGGTGGCACAAAAGGTACATCTGTTTGAAGCCTCAGAGTAGATTTCCATGCTACAAGGCTGCTAATTCTCCAAAACAGGAATTCCAGTCCTTAACAAGGCAATAATAATTACTTTCCAATTTGTGTAAAAGATGGAAAAAAGCCTTGATGATTATGTGGCCCTCATGATCATTTTCACTTATATTTGAAGGAAGAGAGGAAAAGAGCTTGATGCTAAGTGGATGCTTGTTACTTTGAGTCTATACAACTTGTCACATATATGTGAATATGTGTATAAATTATAAATACATTTTTTCAGAGTCATCTTTGTGAGGTTAAATAAAGGCCTTTCTTGCTGTAAGACACTGATATTTTACTTTGTGTATATTTACCGTTCTTCCTATGTCCTGTTCCTGCTTCCTTGCATTAGTAACAGTATCATATCACAGTACTATTTTGTGGTTATAGTCAAATACAACAATCTTGTATAGACTAAACTATTTATGAAATATATTTTGCTGTTTGAAACTAATTTTTTGTTCTGGTTATTGAGTGAGAAACTGCTGACGTGTGGTTGAATTCTGAAAGACATTTTTGGAAGAAGTTATGTCAAGTTGTATAGGCCAGTGTGCATATCATCCTGCCATGTCCTGGCATGAGAGTTGTATCTGAAAACACGGAGCGGGGAGCCCCTATGGGAGTCTCATGCTTCCAGATGTGTGTTACAGGAATCACTTGCAGGAGGATTCCCTGCTCCCTGACACAGGGGGTGCATCTGGGAGAGGAAGTGTTCTTTGTATTTCAATACTCTTAGCACACTCTCATACACACACAAAAAAAACCTTCTAATTTATTTCAGAATATATGCTATTTTAACTTGGACTGTTTTATACAACTTGTTTCTAATGCCTCATTTTGAAGATTTAAAGGTTTGGGCATTTTTCCTTTTAGAAATCTGCTTGGACATTTCAGATATAGTTTTCTTTTCCACTTACTAAAACAAATGAAACTTTACTTTCGGCTTTGGGTTTGCTATTGCTATGTAAAGTGGGTGAGAACTCCTGAAAGTACCTACATGGCTTTAAGCATTAAAACATTAACAACAATAGAAAGGCACTTTTGAAAATTCCAGTCTGCAACCTGACTTGTTTTTCTTTTGGATATTCATGATATTCCTCCAGTGAGGAAGAGTCTGTCTGATGAAAACTTAGGCAGTCTTCTAACAGTCTGGAATAACATGATGCTGTATTGACAAAGCATGTTCAGTGTAGACACAGTTATAATGACAAAACTGCTTTATATCATCATTATAAAAATAACATCATAAGGGAAACAAGATATTTCAGGAAAAGTGTTGTGTTCCCCTACAACTGTGTCAGTACTAGAACCTTAGAATCAGAGAAAATTAGGGTTGGAAGTGACTCCAGGAGGTTATGTAGACCAACCCCTGCTCAAAGCCGGACCAGCCCTAACTAGTTCATTCCAGCCACAGGTTTTGTCAAGCCAGGGCTTAAAAACTTCCCAGGATGGAGTTTCCACCACCTCTCTAGATAACCTGTTCCAGTGCTTCACCACCCTCCTAGTGAGAGTGTTTTTCCTAATATCCAATTTAAACCTCCCCTGCTGTAACTTGAGATCATTGCTCCTTGTTCTGTTATCTGCCACCACTGAGAACAGTCTATCTCCATCCTCTTGGGAACCACGCTTCAGCTAGTTAAAGGCTGCTATCAAATCCCCTATCAGTCTTCTCTTCTGCACACTATATAAACCCAGTTCCTTCAGTCTCTCTTCGTAAGTCATGTGCCCCAGCCCCCTGAACCATTTCTGTTAGCCTTCTTAGCAAAAAGAGCACACTGATGACTCATTTCCATCTTATTGTTCACTGTAACCCTCAGGTCCTTTTCTGCAGAGTTGCTGCTTAGCCAGTCAGTCCCCAAGCTATGGGGGATGGGATTCTTCTCTTCTAATTGCAGGACCTTGCACTTGTCCTTGTTGAACCTCATGAGATTTTTTTGGGGGGGGCAATCCTCCAATTTGTCTAAGTCACTGTGAATCCTAGCCCTACACTCCAGTGTATTTACTATATGCCCCCTTTCCCCCCCAGCTTGGGGTCATCTGAAAACTTACTGAGGGTGCAATCCATTCTATCTTCCAGATTGTTAATGAAGATATTCAACAAAGTTGGCCACAGGACTGACTCCTGGGGCACTCCACTTGATACTGGCTGCCAGCTAGACATTTAGCCATTGAGCCTGACAATCTTGCCAGCTTTCTAATCACCTTACAGTCCATTCATCCAACCCATACCTCAGTTTGCTTGCAAGAATTCTATAAGAAACAGTATCAAGGTATGAAGTCAAGGTATATTACAACCACTGCTTTCCCCACAACCTGCCACTAAAGCTATATCTGTAATGGATTGTATTTCTTCGCACCCGTGATCAATGTAACTATGCTGGCAGAAGTCCATGCTATGGAACTTGGCCAAGAAAAGGGAAAACTACCTATAATTCAGGTTTTTTTGAAAATATAATTGTGACAGGGATCACACTTGCCTTTGATCAAGTTACTTTTGACTGATTGTGTTTTGTTTTCTGGCCATATTTTTCTGTTTATAGTGTCATAAGTACCTCAAAGTTCTCTCTAATCCAACTCCCTGCAAAGATGCAGAATTCACTATTCCTAAGATAAGTAGATCATAAATAATCATTTTGAATTTCTTATAAGGGAGCTCCACCTCCAACACAACTAATAGATATTAAGCCTGTGAGAATAGGAAACTGTTCAATTCAGTTTAGGATTCAGATTTGGCCAATTCGGATGCCGATGATTTGATTCAGAGATTTGAATCACTTTTCCGATTCGATTTGGCTGAATCAGCTTTGGAAGATTTGGAGCCGGTTTGGAGAAATTCGGAGATTTGGCCATAGAGTATAATGGGGAATCAATGAAATCGCTATAACTTTGTTGTCATTTGGATGATATAGATGAAACATACAGGGATGGTAGACTCTGCAATTTGGCATGAAGCCTGCCAAGTTTCAAGGAGATATCTGCAGTTTCTGGGAAACTTCACCTTAAAGTTCTAAAAGTAACACTCATGTCACGTGTGTGTGTTAAGCCACAGGAGGGTGAAAACCGAAGGGGTCATAGCTCTTGCTGAAGCCACAAAGCTTGCCAAGTTTCAAGGAGATAGGTATAGGGATTTCTGGGAAACTGGACCTCAAGCTGCTGTCAAGAAAAACTGATGTCACGTGTGTGTGTTAAGTCACAGCAGGGTGAAAACTTCAGGATTGGTAGCCCCTGGTGAGACCACAAAGTCTGCCAAGTTTTAATGAGATAGGTTCAGGGTTTTTTGGGAAACTGAACCTCAAACTGTTGACAAGCAAAACCCATAACATAAATGACACTGTGTGTGTTAAGGCACAGGAGGGTGAAAACTGCAGGCCTGCTAGGCCCTGCTGCAGCCATAAATCCTGCCAGCTGTCAAGAAGATAGGCACAGTGGTGTTCTGGGACCCTGCACCTCTGGCTGCTAACAGGCAAAACTCATGACCTGGGTGCTTGTGCAACTGTGTCTGTCTTGGGGCACAGGGATAGGGGGGAAACTACTGCAGGCCTTGATGCTAGGCCCTGCTGTGGCCATGAAGCCTGCCAACTGTCTGTCTTAGGGCACAGGGGGGTGAAAAAAACTACTGCAGTCCTGTCAGACCTTGCTTGAGCGATGAAACCTGCCAGCTGTCAAGGAGATAGGTGCAGGGGGGTTCTGGGAACCAGGGACTAGCCAGGAGGCACCAGAGGTGCTAGGGCCCAGAACCTCAGTGGTAGGCATTAAGGGGGTTCTGGGAGCCAGGGATCAGCCAGGAGCATTGATCCCCTGGAACTTCTCCATTTGGTTCTCAAGTTCCCTCACTATGGGGATCACCTTGCTAAGGAGGACATCGCCAGCACTAAGGGTCTTGGTGGCCTTGAGGAAGGGCTTGAGGACCACTAAGATCTGGAAGATGGTTCCCCACTCTAGCTCTGTTCAGGGGGCTGCTGATCCCCATCTCCCCAAGCAAGGCCATCTCGTGGATGGCCTTCTGTTGCTCCACCAGCCTATTGAGCATCAGGTATGTGGAGTTCCACTGAGTCTCCACATCCTGCATGATTTTGTGCTACAGGATGTTCAGGTCTGCCTGTTTCTGTCACAGCTTCTTGCCCCACTTGATGCTGCAGTGGAAGTAGCCTACCACTTTCCTGCATTTTGAAATCAGCTGGCTTGCAGTGGTAGTGGTGGCAGTGCCATCACTGGCAGCCCTGTCCCCCCTCTAAGGCATTCCTGACTATAAGGTACAGCCTATATGCCACACAGTGGATGCCAACAAAGTTGGCATCATGGACATCCTTGACCATTGGCCCCATTGTCAGTGACCACGAACCCGCAGGTGAGCTCAGCCTGCCCAATGATCCACCCCTGCACTGTGCAATTCATAGCCCCCACGATCTCCCCTGCCATGTGGGACTTATCCAGCACTTTGGCTTGGAGAAGATCCCACTGATGGCCTAACTAATTGCACCAGTGCCCTGTGAGGGAGAGGTAGGCATGATCACAACTCTGGCTGCTCCAGATGTCTGAGGTCAAGTGCAAGGCTACCTGTGGTCCTGCTTTGTGCAGCTCCTCCCTCTAGTACTCCCTGCATGCCTCATACAGGGAGGGCACTACTGTGCTGCTCAAAGTTATGCACGCGGGCACTTGGTCAGATGGGGGTCACAAGTGCCATGAGCCACCTGAACCCTGGCCGCTCAACTAGGGAGAAGGGCTGGATATCCAGAGCAAGCATCTCCCCAGTGCTCTGGGTGATCTTGCTTGCCTTGGGAATGTGCCCTGCTCTGACTGCAGCTTTTCTCCACTGCTCCAGGGTGGCATGCCTCTGCTTTGGGAGGATGGCTGCTTTGGAGTGAGCGGCGGACTTTTCATTGAGCACGCTCATACTGGTGCCAGGCGAAGCAGGGAGAACAGCAAGGGGGTACTGTCTCCTGAGATGCAGCAGCGTTGCCATGGTGGTGAAGTGTTTCACCTCCTTGTCCCGGCTGATCTGCCTTTGGCAGTGCTAGCAGATAGCAAACCTGGGATCATCTGCCAGCTCAAAATGCTCCCACACTATGCTACTTGCCCACTTCTGAGATAAAGGTGGGGATGCTGCCTTACCCCCCTCCTCAGCAGGCTGAGGTACAACAGCAGGAGGAGCTGCCTCAGCTGAGCCACTTCCCTCCACAACCTCAACCTCATCCGAGGTGCTGCTTTCTGGAGGAGACGTGGGTCTAGAGGAACTCTGAGGGTTGTGGAGCACAGACTCTGATTCCCCCTCGGTCCCCAGAATTGCTTGTGCCAGGGTGCTCAGGTCCCCTGGTTTCAGCTCCAGCTTCTCCTCTGGCAGTGGGAGGCTCATGCTGGGAGATGACACTGGGGTGGAGGAGACAGTGATTCTGCTGCTGGTGCCTATTTTGGGAATTAGGGAGGAGGTGTAGGTGCAGGGACATCAAGTACAGGTACTAGTCCCACCCCCTTGCTTCCACTGGCAGCAGAAGCTTCATGGTTGCTTGGAAAGAGGATGCATCTATGTTTGGGGGTGGGGGGAAACTTGTAACTCTAGCTCTCCCCCTACCCTGTCTCCCTCTCCTGCCAGAAGACCTGGCACCTGCCTTTCCAGCATGCTTCATATTGATCTTTCCTGTGCTGCAAAAAGTGTGTGTGTGTCACTCCTTTTGTGTTGTGTGCTTTATTCCCTCTGTGTTGCACGCGCGCTCTATGTTGCATGTGTGCACTGGACTCTTCTTTGATTCTTTGATTTAGTAAGAAGTATTAAGAACTATGTAAAAAATGTGTGCTGTCTGTCTTCTTCTCTGCTGTGATGTATTTATTTACTATGAATTATGAATGTGAAGTATGACTCTGTTGTGTGTTTTATTCCCTTTGTGTTGTGTGTGTGCACTGGTCTCTGCTTTGATTATTAATAACTATATGTGGTGTCTTCTTCTGTGAAGTGCTCTTAATGTGAATATGTGACTACTACTCTACTTCCTCTTCTTCTTCTGTGTTGTAATGTGTATCTAAAATAATATATCTCCTAAGACCCTGAGTTCTGTGTTAGTTTCAATCTGAATCTCTATCTGACTTCTGTGTTGTCTGTAGTCTGTATGTAAACTAACTATAATAATATTAATAACTAATAACGATATATAATCTGATTCTAAATCTCTTCTTTGTCTATGAATATCTGACTTCTTCTATGATCTGTGTGAGTGTGTGGAATGCGTGCTTCCCTGTACAGTGATGGATCATGCTGCCAAGGAAAACACTGAGCTTTCTTTTTTAAAAGTATTGCAAAAAAAAAAAAAAAAAGAGAGAGAGAGAACAAATATAAATCAAAAGAAATGAATTGGATAAGTATTAAGTAGAGAGATTATAAGCTAAACTAAAATAAGCTAAACTGAGCTAAGCTAAGCTATATCCTATCCAATCCTTTCTAAGAACAAAAAAGAGCAGGTGACTGACTTACTAGGAAGCAAGCCAGGCAGTCCAGTACCTTTCTGATGCTGTTGCTCACTCAGAACCAGCTCACAAAAGATACAGCAAGCCTTCAGACAAAGGCTTTTATGCTGTTTCTATGTCCCTCCCCCCCAGACACTGTGATTGGAAGGGCAGTCAGAGAGAAGTCACAGTCACTGGCCAGCTAGAGATGTCAGTTCTTTCCCCACAGCTCCCTCTCCCCCCCTGCTCCCCCACCTACTCCTTCTCCCTCTTCTAAGTTTCTGTTTCCCCATAAAGACTTCCCTTCAAATCTCTGAATCACCAAATCTTTTCTGAATCATTTCCTAATCGATTCAGAGTCTCCGAATATAAAATCAGTCAAGCAACTATAGGATCAGTGGTGTGCTAGCCATTTGACAATAAATGGACTGAGAGAGGAATCTCGTGTGCATCATATATGCCACAGCTAAAGTTTTTTCTTATGCTTTACATCCACTCAATCAGCAATCTTCTGACCACAGGCATGATTATAAATGTTATGAGTATAGAAGAAATAATATTCAGGAAAAAATGGATTGTTTAAATTTGATCAAATTCTAGAAAGGGATGAAGTACAAAATACTTTTCCCCATCAATCAACTTAGAGGAAACTTTATCCAATTTCTTGCAGATAATCTATATATATGATTCTAATTTACATGGTTAACCTCAGCCAAACTTTCAAGCTTTTCATTATGAATTAAACTCTATTACTTTTGTGTAATTCATTTTATTCAACAAATGTTCATATTTTTTTTACATTAGAATGTAAATAAAACAATGAGTGTAACAAATTTTAGCATATTTAAATTATTCATTGCAACATTATCTAAGTATATATTCAGTAACCTTTTTCTTCATAAACAAACAGATACAATTTTCCTTTATGGCATTTCAAAATGATTGATTTACATGAAAAGCTAGTCTTTTATTGTCAGGAAGAACAGCTGTACTTTTATGTTTCTGCATAGTTTTCATGTTGGTCCTTGGCTTGATTGTTCTTGACTCAGAGAGGAATTTTTTGAATGTTAATCATTGTTATAACTTAGGGACATTACAGGGTGCAGCAAAGAACAGGTGAGAACATGTATTATTCAACCTTCATCATACTGGCTATAATGCTAATAGTTATTGAAACACAATACAGTGAAGTACTAGTGAAGTACAATTTATCTCTGTGTATAGCAGGTTTACAGATACAGGCTACAAAGGACCCATATAATATGCATGAGATCACTGAACTGGAGCCCTGGCATATTATCAAAATACATATGCATATGCTTTTGTCCTATAATAATTTATTTTTAGTAGCCATGCCTGCTAGCATCCTAAAGTTAGGATATATTTATTTCAAATAAACTTTCTTATTTTTAATTCCTTAGCAATGCACCTGTAAATATTCACTTCATCTTAAAACAATATTTAAGGTTTTAGTCCTGAAACATATTTTTAACCCAGTTTTAAACAAATCCTATTAGTCATTTTGAGTGATAAATCACCATAATATTTTAATTTAGCCAGGGATTTAGATTTGGTTGTTTTGTTCTGTATTTTAAAACAGTTTTATTTTAAACAAAGAAACTTTTAAACTTATTTATCCATTTAAATGAATAGTAATGGTGATTTTTGGCATTTATACACAGTCAGGGATCCTATTCCATGTGTAATGTGACACAGCTACTGAAATAGGCAGTAGGTTGTGCTTTTCCCAGGCAGGCACACAGCTCCATTCCAGTCACCTCTGATTGTGATCCTGAAGAAATGAGGAGAAGAAGCATAGTGTGATCATTTAGTAGTTAGGGGTTTGCTGCCTGGCTAGAATTCCATAACTAACACTCTTTAGGGAAAAATATGTATAGACCCTCATGCCATAAAAATGTTTATGGCAGCACAAAACAACAGCAAATGAGTGTCCATGCCTTTTGTTGTATTACAGTGTGGTTCCATCAAAAGGTAGTAATATATTGTGTTGTCTTGTTGAGGCAGATGTCTATTTGCTTTATGGCGGGAAAGGGCAGGCAGTCTGGAACTTCCCACACTCTCCTGCTGCCCAGGGATGGCACTCAGGTGCTTAAGAGGCCTGGTCCTGTGCATCTTGGAAATTCCTGCGTAGGATTAGGCCCCTCAAGCCCAGGGAGCGCTGCCCAGCTTTCTGCACAGCACTCTCTGGGACACATCTCTGTAAGTGGGGAAAGTTGTGGTTCCCCCTTCCAGAAATTCACCCTGGAGATTGCTGAGGATGCATCATTGCAAAAGAAGAACCAAAATTTTCCCCAGTTACAGAGATGCATCCCAGATATTCCAGGGGTGCATTTCTGGAAGTGGGGAAAGCAAGGCACTCCAGTGTTATGCATGTTCCTGGGGCTGGGGCCACCAATTACCAGTGGGACCACATATTGTACCGGTGTGTCCCTGCTTTCCCCTCTTGTAAATATGTATCCCCAACAATCTCCAGGAACCCCAGAGTTTGCTAGGGGTGCATCTCAGGAAATGGGGAACATGTTGCCTATTGTCCCATGAGATCAATGGTGGGATAACAGAGGACATGTGTTTTGTCTAATGAAGTGGATCAGCCGTGCTGGGATGTATCCTGACACACATCCTCATTTGACAATTTCTGTCTCTAGCCTCAGGATATTGAGTGCACCAGCATTTCAGCTGTCAGCCAGGATCTGGTCAAAACACGGTTGGAAAAAGAAACTAACTTTTAATGAAAATATTGGATCAGAAACTGTCCTAGTATAGCTAATCAGCATCAGTAATAATCCTTTATTGAGGGACACTATCTTCAGAAAACTTGCTTTCTGAAAAGAAATTTTCCATATCTGATATATGACTGATCATATAAGAGCTATAATTTCAATAGAGAACAAATAAATATGCAAACATTTCTAGAGGAAACAATTTCATATTTTTACTTCTTTCTTTATGAGGTAATTTATCAACATTTTCATATTGAATTCTGAGCATTACTACAATTTATGTAGTCAGTTTTATGTGTAATTAAGAGCTATTCCTTCCTTCCCTTTCTCTCATCAAGTGGATATTAATATGTTGCATACCCTCACCTTTTATTGTGCATTTCCTCCCAAACAGAAAATATTGAATGTAGTATTTCTGAGATTTTCATATTAGAATGTAATATTTTTTCTCTCTGTACTTTATATTGCCTTTGTTTGCTATCTTGTACATTTTCAATGCCACAAAATTAATTTATATTATAATCAATAATAAACAACCATAACAACTCAGAAAGAGAAGTATTCTTTAAAGTATTATTTTTTTAACTATCAGAGATGCCTGTGCCTTTTGTGGTAACTATCCTTATTGTGTTACGGCAAAGATTTATCTTTGGTATGAAAAAATATGGAAACCTTTATCCTGCATTTATTTTTCTTTAGATTTTGCTACAATTAAGTAATTACTGAAGTCAATGTTTCACTATCTGATGCAAAGTAGCTGAATCAATTGTTAGTCATATTACAAATAACATAATTTGCAGAATATTTTAAAATAATTAATATGCACCCTTTCATTCAAACAGGTCATCAAGCTTGCTTTTGAAGAATTTGAGTTAGAAAGAGGATACGATACCCTAACTGTAGGGGATGCTGGGAAAGTTGGGGATACCAGGACAGTATTGTATGTGTAAGTACATGAGTTAAATATTTTAATATAGAAATTTACTGCCATTCAAAGGGCTTTTCTGTATTACATACATATTTAAATAAGTGATTAAGGATTATGTCTTGCTATAAAGTACCCTTATTGGGTCTCAAAGTCCTAAGCTTTATACTTCGCAGATGCTTAGGAAGTAGGGCATAGGGGGGACAAAGAGAATTTGAAAAAGCAATTAAAAGTAAATAAGCTTTTAATGTACTAAAAACAAACAAACAGGCAAACAAATAAAAAGTCCAGGAAACATAAACATTAATTCACTGGGATAAAACAAGATCCTTTTGTGTCAAAATGCTAATACTTATACACTTTTGCCATTGAATGAATATTGGGTGCATGCAGACATTGTATATATAAGATCCTACAGAAGAGTCACAAAGCACATTATAGTAAAATATGTCAATAGCTAAACAGTAAATGCTGAACCAGTTTGGACCTTAATTATTGTCCACATTTGAGGTCCACTGTTTAAGCAGGATCATTGCAAAGGGACTGTGATTTGGAGAGACATGATATCTGCTGCTTAGCATTGGAGGAGACTAATCCATGAGTTAATGTTTAGGGGCATGTGTACATGTGACAATGTTACAAAGTACACATGATGGACATTTCCCTTTGTGTGGTTTAATGTCACACATTACACGTATGCAAGTTTTGGGAATCTTAAATGAGTTTGTATTGTGTAAGGGAAGAGCAGGAATACCTGGGGCAGAGAGGAAGAAACCAGGGTTTGAAGGGTGCTTCCCTGCAGCTGTCCCATCACCTGGGATACATAGGGCTACAAAGGAACCTTTCTTCTCCCAGTGCTTCTAGAGGGGAGGGGGAAGGAAGGTGAGCTCCAGTATAAAGAAGGACTCAGAGCAGACTCAGGGGCAGAGACAAGAACCAGAAGTTCCTCACCCCGACAGCGAGAGAGCAGAAAGTCCTGAGAGAAGCAAAGAAGCACAAGCAGCAGTGCTGCTTGAAGCTAGCTGCAGATTTGCCACAGAGAGAGACATATCTGTGACAGAATAGCAAGAATGAAATCCAACACTCCAGTCAGCTAGCCCTGTGAGGAGGGCCAAGACGGAGGTACTGTAAATACTGAGATATACAGACAGGTATTTTTATTTTGTTCATTATTTCCATTGGACTGAAGGAGGTGGGAATCCTCCCAGAAAATAGAACAAGGATAAAGCTCAGATATCTGCACCTAGGCTAATAAACTGTTTAGATAAAAAATGTTTTCACTTTCAGAGTCCCGGTGAGGATTAACCAGGACTAAGTTTGTTTTGATTTATGTTAAAGGTACAAGCCTAACAAAAGGATCCTGTGGACTTTTTCTAATGTTATATGGACAATGAGTTACCACCCAGTGGATCAGGAGAGGGTATAGGGGTTGGCAGAGCTCTTGCTATATTAAGGTATCACCAAGGATCATTCATACAATTAGTCTCCCACCCTGGCATCCTTTATTTTCCTCTTTTATCATGGAGACATGGCAGAAAAGAGTGGGATGTGAGGTACCCTGACCTCAAAAGTATCCTGGGAATCTTCTGCCGACTGGCCGCAAACTAGAATTACCTTAATATGGAAGACACATGGAGACAGTTTTACTTGCTAGGACCAATTAATAACTGAATTAGTACTAGACATTTTGTCGTCAATACTCAAGCACTGTTCAAGTACTATACACATTGTTGCAAACTAAAATGCATCCTATTGTAATATAGTTTGAAATGTTGCAACTTGAAACATTGCAGCCATTGGTCAGATCACCTCCCTGGCTGTGAGAGAAGTGGGCAGACTCTGCAGAAAAAAAGGATTGGGCCCCTCGCTGCTCCTGCCTTCAGCAGGCTCCTGCCGCGAGCAGGACACCTGGGGCCACCCACTAATGGGTTGGCTTGCCCCTGGAACAGTGCAGGGAAGCAGCAGGAGGGTGGCTGGGTCTGCTGGTGGCTGGAGAAGGTAGCCTGGATTGTACATGAGGCACTGGGCCACCTGGCTGGGCTACTAACTTCCCCAAGCCTGCCAAAGCTTCCAGTTCACCATGTACCATCCCTGTCACCAGAACTGACCCAAATAGGGTGTGGGGCCAAGGGCAAAACAGCCCATGAATGGCCCCGCCCCCGCTCCAATCCCATGGGCCCTGGACCTAAAGAAGCTGCCGCCGCCATTGGTGAGCAGCTGGATGCAGAGGCATCACTCGGCACAACTCTGCACTGCCACTGCTCTGTCCTGCTCCATGGGGCCCCCAAAGCATGGGGCCTAGGGCAGTCACCCTGATTCACGACCCCTGAGGGATGGCCCTGCCTGTCACCCTCCCTGGCTGCCAGCACACCCAGCCACCCTTGTGCCACCTCTCTGCACTGACCCAGGGGCAAGCCAGCCCATTCCCAGGCAGCCCCAGGTATCCTGCCAGGTGCAGGAACCTGCTGAAGGCAAAAGCAGTGAGGGGCCTGATCCTTTTTCTCTATGGAGCCTGCCCACCTCTCCTATAGATGGCGAGTGAGCTGACAGATTAATGGCACACATTAATGCCCCCTGGCTGTGGGAAAGGTGGGCAGGCTCCACCAAAAAAAATAAAAAGGATTGGGCCCCTCACTGCTTCTGCCTTCAATGATGAAAACATAAAACCCATTGTTTCAATTAAAAACTCACCATTTCAATTTGGGGGGCATAGAATGCAACCATAAGGACTAAAACCACATCATGTATACAAACACCCTAGGAGGCTGTGCTATTCTTTTATTATTAGCCATCATGGGATGCTGAGCATACTGCAGACTTCCTCACTTCATGCCCCTCCTTTTCATACTAATGCTCTAAAACAACAGTTAATTCTTTCTCACATGATTTCCTTACCAGTTGCTTTGGTTTTTAGTTCTTTTTTCTTGCTCGTTTGTTTCCTCATTTTTATCATCCTTAAGATTCTTGTCTCTATTCTCTGTGTTATTTAATAATTGCTTCTTTTTTTGGTTTAATTTGTTTTTGTTGTTTGTTCATTTATAATTTTTGGGGGGGGTTTTTTTTTTTTGGTTTTGTTTCGTTGGGGTAGAGGG